TCTGTAGTATGCGTGGATGAAAATGAATTAAAATGAAGTAATTGGAGCATGCCTAAATTCTGAGTCTAAGATGCAGTGATCCTGGACTTTCCAGCTAAAAAAGGGCTGAGCTTTAGGGACAAAGATTGTCATGATGGGATTTTGTATATATGATCTGAAATTACTCCCAAAATGCTTTGTAATAAATTTTTTTCCCGTATTTTTCCATGTCTTTCTACCAACTGACAGTTTGTCACTGGGTTGATTAAGTGTTACCAGATGAGTTTTTAGTTCTTACTACCTCTCCCTCTCTTCAAAAGTGAATTACCGAGAGGGGTTTTGTTTTTTCTTCCCATAATATAAAATACAATTCACAGTATGGCTCGCAGGCTATGCTAGTTTACAACTTTCCCACGTGGTTTAAGCAGTGCTACGTCGCCTGGCATCGATTTGCTGGTTATCCTTTTTTTTTCATCTCCTGAAGATGCTCATTTCGTCTCCTGAGGACACTCATTTCGTCTCCTGCTAGTTCAGCGCCTTTTCGGATTGATGTGAATGTGTTTGGCAAGACTTTAACTGTTTCAAAATTTGTCTAGATGAGTTGGGCTTCAAGGAATTCGAGCATTAAATCTGCTTGTGGCACTTTTTCACCCAGGAAATTGACAATAAAAGACATTATGGTTTTCCATTGAGCACTTTGACTCGCCGCAAACGCAAATGAGGCGCAGTTGTCGTTGTGACGCTCTGTCAAACTGTTCGCCGTGTACAGTCATCAAAAAAAAGCATACCTTGCGCGTTTCTGCTTTAAAATTTTTACTTTAGAATTTTTTGTGTATATCTTTGTTGCGAGTACTGCCAGTGTTACACGTTCAATTTATGACTGATAAGAAATCAAAGAGCGAAAGTGCTGCGGTACAGTGCTCGTTCTCTGAGCTGTTTTGGATTCCAGTTTTGTTTGCACAGTGCCGGTGCAGGGGCCGTTCCTGAACTTCGAAATGATCTAAAAATAGACAAATGATGATTAGTTCTAATTTCAAAATAGTTCCAATTTCAAAATAGTTTCAATTTCATATGTTGCCGTTTTACGGATTGCATCACTCATAAAGCGAGCGTCCGAAAAAAAGGCAAGATACACCTCAGTTTAGGTTCCAGTTCAGCAAAGTGGTATTTCTTGATCAAAATGTGCCAACTTTTCCATTTTTTTCGAACATAGCGTCTTTTCTAACATTCTGGATACATTTTTTCATCCTTTGAAACTTATTTTTAACCTTTTACTGACTTCAGCACTTCGAATCTTCAAAGCTTTTTTGGCTGTTCTCTGATTTTTATTTTATCTAGGTTATCTTTTACATTTCTTGGCTCAGTTTTTGTTCCTGTAATTCACAATAAATCACTGACTTCCCAGTCCTCTTGCTTTCGTCCTTTTCCTATCTTGAAACATCCCTTGCCCTTCCTCCACTTCCAGCCCTGCGAGTCTTATTTCCATTAATTTACAAATTTTGTAATTCTCATCTCTCACCTTCCTTTCTGTTTATCTCTTTTAATCCTTCCAATTAATATACCTTCTTATTTCAACCTAAAATATCCAGACTTGACATTTGAATATTCTGATTTTCGACCTCGTATCTAGATGTTACACTTGAATATAAATTAAGA